GGCAGCGTCTCCACAAAGCAAGCAATCGAAGAAAAAAATTGCTCAGGGTCACCAGAAATGCCGGAACCGAAGAGACGCAAGATTGCAAGCGAGTGCAGAAAATTTCAGACCCGGTGGAAAAATGTATATTTTTTTCATAGAAACCAAGGGTTAGTGTGTTTGTTTGATTTGTAATGAGAGTGTTGCCGTGATGAAAGAGTACAATGTACGACGGCATTATTAAACGAAACATCAGACCTTCACGTCCTACACTGGCGGTGAGCGAAAAGAGAAGGTAAAGCAAATGGCAAGCTAGCCTGCTAACGCAGAAGCAGGTTTTTTCCCGTGCTAACAAAGCTTAAGAAAATGCAACAATAGCCAGTTATAAGTAGCTCGACTCATTGCCCTACACGGGAAACCTTTCTCAGATGGTGACTTCATCAAACAGTGCCTCACTAAAGTCGTGGGAATAATGTGCCCGGAGAAAATGCAGGATTTCAACGATGTTAGTATGTCCAGAAATACGGTTGTGCGGCGAATTGAAGACTTGTCGGCTAACTTAAAACAGCAAGTGTCAGATAAAGCTTGTGCTTTCGATTTTTACTCGATTGCATGTGATGAGAGCACAGATGCCACGGACACTTCACAGCTGTAAAAAAAATTGCGGGGAGTTGATGATAATTTTTGCATTATGGAGGAACTACTCGATCTTCGGAGTCTAAAGGGGGACAACAACTGGGAAGGACGTGTTTGAAGCTGTGTCAGATGCAATTGACCAGGCTGGACTTAAATGGGACAAGCTGTGTGGAATTACAACGGATGGGGCTCCAGCAATGACAGGCGAGCGCAAAGGAACGGCCTCTATGGTGAGTGCCAAGGTGCGGGAGAGCAGAGGTGAGGCTGTCAAAATGCACTGTATCATCCACCAAGAAGCCCTCTGTGCCAAGATAATCCAGCTTGGCGATGTGATGAACACAGTTGTGAAAACTTTCAACATAATTCGTGCACGAGGGCTTTACCACAGAGAATTTCAAGCGTTCCTCTCTGATGTCGATGCTGAATACGGGGACCTACTCTACCATTCTCAAGTGCGCTGGCTCAGTCGCGGCTCCGTGCTGCAGCGGTTTTATTCCCTGAGATCAAATATCGACAAGTTTTTGAAAGAAAAGGGCAGACCTCTCCATGAGATCAGTGACCCTTTATGGTTGGCAGACCTGGCTTTTTTAGTTGATCTCACTGATCATCTCAACACCCTGAACAAGAGACTACAAGGCAAAGAGCAGCTGGTGCCACAGCTGTATGCGCACATGAAAGCATTCCGTGCAAAGCTCCGTCTCTTCGAGTCACAACTGCGCAACTTCAATGTAGCGCACTTCCCCACGCTGACCGAAATCAAACGCGCATTTCCAAATGCCAAGCTCTCTGCAAAAATGGGAGAATATGTGTCTGTGATCACATCTCTCATAACAGAATTCAGTCAGCGCTTCCAAGATTTTTCTGTCATTGAGAAGGAAATCACACTGTTTGCGGCTCCGTTTTCAATGGATGCAAAAGAAGTGGAGGAGAGTCTGCAATTAGAACTGATCAAAATTCAGTGTGATGATTCTCTGAAGAATCAGCATCAGCTTCTCTCCCTACCTGACTTCTACCAGAGCTTCGAAAAGGCCAAGTTTCCTCTGATGAGACGCCACGCAAAACGAATGATGAGTCTGTTCGGCTCAACATACATCTGTGAGCAGACATTGTCTCTGTTAACGCTGAACAAAAGCAGACTGAGAACCAGAACGACCGACAGCCATCTCCGTGACGTCCTTCGCATCTCAACCACCAAACTTACTCCTCCTGACCTGCCAGCTATCCTTCACACCAAAGCGCAGCATCACTGCTCCCACTGAGCGCAACATTCTTCCCATTACAGGTGAGTTAAAAATATACACACAATTTTCATTTGTTAATACGCCCAATTACTTCATAAGTTCAGTCCATTAAAGTTGATGACAATTTTTTTACAAACGTTAGTTTATGTGTTAACAAGCCCAATAATTTGTTTGTGTAATAAGCTTGAAATATCCACATCCCCTATTTCTCTTCTTGTCTCTCCCTTCATACAGGACAATGAAGGGGGATCAGCACCCTAAGAACCAATCTGAGGCTGTCACTGAGAGAATGACCTGCCAACATTTTTGTAAAAAATAAAATGAAAATCTACTAATGGAGAGCTATGATGGAGGCTTTTTTTCTTCAAACATGTTCAATTATCAAACGTAATTTACCTGCATTTGATTGATTTTACCAATATTAGTGCATGAGAAGTGAGGCAGTATGACCCACGTCTAGCGAGTGGCCCAGTTCTTCGTATATTTTTCTGTATGTGGCCCTCGGGAAAAAAAAACAGTTTGGACACCCCTGCTTTAGAGAGTACCTTCATAGCACTATGTTGACATCACTGCATTTATATACTCATATGTATGGGTAATATCCCAAAAAGATACGGCCTAAACTATATTGAACATGTCCTATGGGTAATAAAGTATATCTATAAATGTTTCTACATTGTTCCAAGGGCAAAGATACAGCCTTTGCAATTTCATTCTTAAGTCATTGCTCGCAAATGGACTTCTACTAGAGGAAGCTCTCGAGAGCCTCTCTAAAGGGTATTTGGCCTACTCTTCCATGCTAGACAGACATCTTGAAAGAGGTGTTCTTTACTTCCTCATATATATACTCTATCAGCCTAATGGCTTTCCAGACTTGTGTTCATCAGCAAAATGTCTCACAGGTGCCGGATTGTGATCGTTTCAAATAGAGCCAAGCTGGCAAGGAAGCCAGCTTGGCTCTATTTGAGTTAGGGGGTCAAACTGCACAGGGAAACGTGCTCGGAAACTTGCAAAAGCTCTGCAGAGGTACATGACAAGTATGTTAAGACTCACATACGCACGAATCCTAATATTCACATAGCACGGTGTTACAGTTTTTTTTATTTACATTAATAACATTGAAATATTGCCTAAGAAACATCTAGATCTGGGCAGTGTCAAAGCGTGTTACGTTTTTATCGGTATTGGTTTCAGAAAACTTACGTTTTCACGAATGCATGTGAAGCATCCTAAGCTGGAGGTAAGCATGGACGAACATCAAAATTTTTGGGCAATGCAATACATAGCGTATGCACGCCTTTAAAAGTTCAAAGAACCTTTGAAAAATATTTTCGCTGGACGGCAGTGCAGTGGGATACAGCCCTACGAAATTGATTGGACAGCTGCTAGAACCAGATCGTGGACAGGCATGCTGACAGCATAGCTGGCGAGTGTGCAGGCGGTGTAACTGCACCGGGCCACACAGGCAAGGGATCGGACTATCAGGGGACGGATTACGAAGAGGGGGGAAATTGAATAGCAGAAGCCCATGTTATTCCCTGCACTCGGACTCACGTCAACCCGCAACTACGCAACTGCATACTCTCACGCCACTCAGCCACCCCATCTTTACATTGTACACTCGGTATGTGTTTATATTACAAGCACTCAGTGTAGCCTTGTCCCATTGTGTAATAGGGATATTGATCCCTGCTCCCACCCCGTTACTGACTGCTATTATTAGGCCGGTAAACACCAGTGCTTCATGCCACGGAGGAGCCAAAAATAATGTTTCCAAAAACAAAAGCCGTAATAGGATCGTGAAGGTATCACTGCTAAGCTAAAGCTTAGAAATGTGGGTGGTAATTGAAAATGTAGGCGTTTGACCAACCGCAGACTGCTTTAATCTCTCATGGCATGAATCATTAAAATCAACCCGATTTTTGTGGGGGTTCAACTTGAATTTGAGCGTCAAAGGAACACTCCAAAATGTGTTTAGAATAAAAATAATAATAGGGTTTTTCCCCTCTTTTCTGGCAACAAAACTGAAACCTTTTTACGAGGATTCATGTCTGCATTAACCACAATACCTGCAGTCAAAATGCAAACAAAAACACACTATGATAATAGTAAGGGGAAAAACCCTATTATTACATTTTGGTACTGGCAAAGGAGGTCTAATGATGTGTTTAGAATGTTTGATATTATTTGAAAACACTCATATCTCATAGCAATCCACCAGTGTAGGCAATGCACGAAAGTTAAAATGTAACCCAACACGTGGGGCAAGTGAATGGGGCTTACTATGATCCCTTCCAAGTTTAATCCGTATGAAATTGTAATTAACGTCTATGTCACGTAAATACACGTGACTAGAATAACATTGCAGAGGCTGACAAATGTAACGTTACGTAGCAATTTAACAACCCCTGTAATAGTTGACAATTTATTGTAAATATTATTCTTACGAAAACGCATATTGTTGAAAATAATATCAGTGAGACAGTGGTGCAGCATTCACACCGTGAAATGACGAATAATACAACGTAAAAGTACAAGATAATAGTTAAAGTAAACGAATAATAATTGACAGCTATTTGACAAAGCCACTTCTTAGAGGCATATTCACGCTTTCACATATTGACTGCACCACGCTTGTCCAGGGCACATTGGTTAAAGGGACTGCCCGGGTCTGGTTTAGATGTTAATACACGAGCCATGGCTAGGAATCTAACTCAGCTGTCATCGCGCGGCGCGCTATCCACTAACGTCACCGCTCCCCCAAACGTGACAGCAGATAACAGAAATTAATCAACAATATGAATAACTATTTTACAACGCGAAGAGCACGAATAAAACAAGTATGTTGCAGTACGGTACTCAAACATAACTTTTTTTAAAAAAAGTAGCCAATCTTGACAAAAGAGTAATTGACTAAAAATAAATCGCAGTCAAATTTCAGTCAATTAACCCAATAAGACCACTGAACGAACTCGAGAAAACCCACGACTTATCAGTTGTACCAATTCGAGGCACAATTAAAGGTACGGCGAGTGCAGCAGTTGACAACGGATTCAATTTGCTACCATTGAACGGCACGTCCGTTTGGTTTTGACACATTCCTTGACCACGCGAACGACCGGACGTGCAACGTAACAAACTCACCACTCGGGCAGGGAACGGGGGGGACACACTACAAAACGATAGCTCTATCAACTAACTTGCTGAGTGTACTGAGGTGCCTGACAACATAAGGCGACGGCGGCACCAACAGCAGCAGAGACGTTTTTAAAGTTGGCTCGGGAAACTTTGGCCACAGCCATTGCCCCAAGCTCAGCAGCGTGTGGCATGGCTCACTGCGAAGCTGTAGGGGTTGCCCGTCAAACCTATCACCCACGCAAGTCTCCGCAGGAGCTTTGCTTATCACCACTCGGCTGCTAATTGGTTAGAAGTTTATACTGCAACGCGGTGATTGTGTTCCGTCTCGCGAATGGTGTGTGTTGTTGTTTTAACTGCGTCCCTGTCTGCAAAGCGTTTCAACAACCCCCACCTAATTCTCCGTATCCAAATGGACTGTTCCGAAATGTTGTTCTTTCATAACCTTACACTTTGGCCCAGTTCCAGAGCCCTGTCTGCCTGTTATTAATTGTTTTTTTGTCTGTGTGATTTGAACAATATCGGTAATAATTCGAATGTGCCCATTCGTAGCACATCTGTTAAAACGGCCTTTTTTTTAAGTCCGTATCAAATTCACGGCGTGCGTCTCTGGGATCGCGCGTTACAGGGAACTCTGTTGCAAATAGGGGCCGTCCATAAATGACGTCACGCGATTTTTGACGATTTTTGACCCCCCCCCCCCTTCGTCACACGGCGTCACAAAAAGTCAGACCCCCCCTCAAATATGACGTCACAAAGCTCTGCCCCCCCCCCCCAAAAAAAACATGATTCAAATCGATTTAAAGCTTTCGTGACTGCAGGGATTCATATTCTTGGTTATTTCGGTAAAGTCACATAGAAGGGAAACAATAAAATAATAAAAATATAAAAGAATACAATTATCAGGTGATGACACCTGATGATGATTGCTTGTGTTGCAGTCGAAACGTCGTGAGAATTTTATTGTTTGATATTTTTATTATTTTATTGTGTTCCCTTCTACATGACTTTACCGAAAGAACCAAGAATATGCTTCAAATCGCTTTAAACTATTGTCATTGTAGTGCGTATTTAATGTGGCGCTGCACTCTGATGTTGTAGGAGAAAACATTTATTAAAAAGTCTAATTAAGTAGAACGTGTTGTCTATATTTAAAGTTGCGCATTTTGATGTGACGTCACATTTCTCAAACTCCCCCCCCCCCCTCGTCACACATCGTCACAAATGTCTGACCCCCCCCCCAGGTGCGTGACGTCATTTATGGATGGCCCCATAGCTATAGCCTCTTTAAAAATAAACATACTCAAAAGCATTACGAAGCAGATTCAACTGCAAAGAATTACACTGTTTCGTGTAAATATTCCTTTTTTAACACATGGACGCGTAATGTAAACGCTACACCCAACGCAAGTGACCTCTGTTCGCAAGCTAAGCAGGTTTCTGCCTGCATAGTGCTCATTCCAACAATTCTTTGCAGTACGCATACCACGTCAACCCCTTATTAGTGCCCACCTTATTAAAGACCAATTCAGTCAGACCTTATTGGTCACCCCGTGCCCTTATAAATCTCAACGTTCATCCTCCAAAGTACCATCACAAGACACAAGGTAGAAACACAAATACATAGATTTAAAAAAAAACTATTTTTGCCCGTTTTGAAACTGCTGTAATGCCGTATGGACCTGAACACTCTAATTTCCTGTACAAGTATACGGGCGGGGTTAAACCGTATGGGTTGACAGCTATTGCAGTACGGTACGAACGCATATGTGTTTTTTTGAAGTTACAAAACTTAACAATAGAGTGAGGGGCCGTCCATAAATGACGTCACGCACCTGGGGGGGGGGAGGTCAGACATTTGTGACGATGTGTGATGAGGGGGGGGGGGGGGGTTGGGAAATGTGACGTCACATCAGAATGCGCAACTTTAAATAAATATAGACAACACGTTCTATTTATGATAATTGTTTTTTTACCTTTTTATCTGGCAACAAAACTGACACCTTTTTTTACAAGGAGTCGTGTTTGCATTGACCACAATACCTGCGGTCGGAATGCAAACAAAAAACATAACTCTGATAATGTATGTGGCACTTTCCTGGAAATTGATTGGTCCACACCCGAGACAGCTTTCCTTAGAGCCCAGTCTCACATGGTGTTGGACCAGAAGACGCCAAAAGGCGCACAACTCAAAGACATTGCACCATCAGAGTATGAGAGCTCGGGGTAAGCATTTACACCATTCTAAACCTCATTTGCCAGGAGCAAAATATGATAAGGTGTCAGTTTTGTTGCCAGATAAAAGGGTAATAAACCATCTTCTTTGGTTCTTTCGGTAAAGTCACGTAAAATGAGAATAAAATAATAAATTGATTAAATAAAATAACAATAATATTCTCAGCGCTGTCCTCCAGACAGTCTCATCCCTTCACCTGATGAAGGCCGCTTGTGTTGTGGCCGAAACGTCGTGAGAATATTATTGTGTTATTTTATTTTATCAATTTATTATTTTATTCTCATTCTAAGTGACTTAATCGAATGAACCAAAGAAGATGAATTCTTGCAATCACGAAAGCTTTAAATCGGTAATAAACCAATTATCATATTTTGATAAGCCGAGCTCTCATACTCTGATGGTGCATTGTCTTTGAGTTGTGCGCATTTTGGCGTCATCTGGTCCAACACCCATGTGAGACTGGGCTCTAAGGAAAGCTGTCTCGGGTGTGGACCAATCAATTTCAAGGAAAGTGCCAATACATTATCAGAGTGATGTTTTATTGCCAGATAAAAGGGTAAGAAACCAATTATCATATTTTGCTACTGGCAAAGGAGGTTCCAATGGTGGAATGACGTTCTACTTAATGAAATAGACGTTTCTCCTACAACATCAGAGCGCAGCGCCACATTAAATACGCACTACAATGACAATAGTTTAAAGCGATTTGAAGCATGTTTTATTTTGGGGGGAGGGGGGGGCAGAGCTTTGTGACGTCATATTTGAGGGGGGGGTCTGATTTTTTCCGACGTCGTATGACGAAGGGGGGGGGGGTAAAAAATCGTCCAAAACCGCGTGACGTCATTTATGGACGGCCCCTAAGTAATGCAGCGAGATGAATTGCAGTGCTGTATGTCTGTGGTCCCACAGTCCTGCTTTGGCCAACCCATACGAACCGGCCTCCGGGTTCGTAGCGCAGCGCGCTGGACCGCTACACTACCGCTCTCCATCAAATACAAGCAAGCACAAAGACAAAGATCCCCCGCGTAGCCTTAACAGACTGTCGGGGCAAGTGCTCTTAAGCGAGCACCTATTGAAGGCCGGCACGGCACACGAGGGGGTGGGTTGGCCAGGACCACGCGCGGCCGCCTTTGTCTCCCCAGTGGCGATGTTTGTACGCACCGGGTACTCATTTGAGGCTGAGTCAACTTAGGGGGAAGACCCAGGACCGGTTTAGATAATCGTCACTGGTGTTGGCCGTGAGCTACACTACCGCTCCCCATCATACATAGCACGCGCACACACGCCACGGAAAGCCCTTTAGCTAGTACGAAACCTGTATACGCGTATATATATTTTTATGACCCTATGTGACCTCGTGTGTTCATCCCTGGTATCAAGACAACTTTGCATATTGACTCGCACTACCCCTGCTAATAGAATTTTAAACTACCCACAAATGCGTTGGTCAGAATTATTTGAAAATAAGAGCACCGACTTTAAAAGTTACTTTAGTTTTAAGCTCGCCCGTCTATTTAAATGAAGCACATGCTATGACCACAACTCCATTGTTTGGGTTTACCATCCAGCCTTGTGGGCAAACGCACTTTTTTGTGTAAGTTTACATTCAATCAATTTAAAGTGTTTTGGCAATCCACTGCTGGACGAAGACCTGCCCCTAACGCCGTATGTCGTCGAATTTGAATATTTTAACCGGTTCTGATGTTAACCGGTTTTGATAACTGTGGCAGGTGCTTGAAAACTGGGAGCTGAGTTAACGGGCAGCACGCTCACCATTGCGCCACCGCTCCCCACGTAAGATGTACGTACTATCGTTTACATGTATAGCCAGACGTATATAGAGTTCTCAAGCTTATGCAATGTTTTATTTTATATGTATTATTTGTAGTTCACACACATGTTACAATTAAGATCTGTAACTGTTCACTTGGTATACTTATTAGAGTAAGCTATTTGCTCGTGCGCTATTTTAACGATAGGCTAGGGGCACGTTGGTATGGTGTGACTTAAGGCATAATACAGTACTGTACATGGATCCTAAGAACTACAACACTTTTTGGAATGTGCACAATGCGGACTTATTCGCCTCGAGTTATTTACGCCTGAAATTGCCTAAGAAGATAAAGCAGTTAAACCTGTACATCTGAAAAATACAGAGCAGTCAATCTTCTTTCAGTTACGACAGCATGTCCTCACTAACCAGTTCAGAGAAAAAATGTTCCCTAAATCATAGCTCATTACTGGAAATACAAAGTGATGGAATATGCAGTACTTCGTACAGATGTTTTCCTAGGGGCGCTGTTGTCATTTCATTTACATAGTGTGAACATTTCTAAATCGGCATTTGACATCAGAGTACTGCATTTTAATTTATAAACTGCTGCTCCCTGCATTGTTACTGAAAGATACACAATTTCGACTTACAAGGTGTGACAGCTGAGCGTAGTTACCCACGCCTGCAATGTAGCACTTTCCTGGAAAGCATTGGTGCCTCTCAGATCTGCGAAATTCCCATACATAATTGACTTGCAGGATGGCCAAAGAGATGGTGATACAAATGAAACTGTTTGAGCAGATATTTCAAATTCCGTCGTGTAGTTATTGGTGTGGGACACTCTTATTTCCTTCCCACCTCCAAATAATAATAAAAATGCGAATGGCTGAACAAGCCAATGCAGAAACCTCCTGGAAAAGTCGTGACCGAGGGAGCCTTTTAACACTAAATAAATACATTATCCACATCGCTTTGGTTTACCAGCACAATGGTTGCGTTAAAAACCGAATTTCTGAAATCTTCCAATATAATTGTATCTAGGGAGGTAACACTATTTCAGTTGCGACCATTCTCTATCCACTGGTGAATGTTATTTTGCTGTGACCAGAGGTGCATCTAAAAATTTCCCAAAGGGGAGGCAGGTCTTTAAGGTAAACCTTTGTAAATAGGGTCCTCCGTTAACAATTAAACCATTCTATGTTTTTTTATCTCTTGTAAACGTAAAAAAGCACCTTTTGGATAATCAGTTTGTAAAACATTTTCAATGCAAAGCCTTATTTGGTCAACCTATCTACCAACTTGGCATTGGATGTGATTGCTTTTAATAATGAAAAATATAAAGTCATCCAACATTCATGTGTACTATAGTGTATGAGTTCAATTCATACACAAGATTGCATTTAAGGAGGCAATTACCTTCATTGAGCTGAACCATATATTTAAATACAAGTTAATTATAAAACAATATTTAAGAAATATTAATTAACTGAAGAGCATACAAATGTACTCATTAGTTTTTTTCGGTAAAGTCACGTATGTGGAAATAAAATAAAATTTAAATAAATAAAATTAGATTAAAATATATCATGTTTCGAACGCAAC